TTATTATTATTATTATTATTATTATTATTATTATTATTATTATTATTATTGTTGTTATCATTATCATCATTAAACTTTCTCCCGTAGAAAAAAAGACGCACAGCCAGCAGCAAGGACTGAGACTGGAACAACTAACAACCAACAATACTAGGCTTAACAACTGTCTCGAAAAAGGCAACTATGATCTTATAATCAACGATCTCTCTTCTTGATTGGCAATTTCTATTCACTGGATGCAATACAGTTGAAGAACTTTACAACGTATTCTTACTAGAAATCAAAAGAGCCATCAAACTATATGTACCAATAACAACTCCCAAAACCAGGACAAACAGATTACCCATAACAATAAGGAAGCTTCAATCCAAAAAGAGATCACTCTGGTGAAAAAAACAAATCAAACACATTGCCAACTTCAAAAGCCGATACAAAAATCTATGCCACCAGATAAAAACTGAATGCACTAATTATCACATTAAACAAGAGGAAAACCTTCTACGCACAAATTCCACCCGTGCTTTCTACAATTTTGTAAACAACAAACTAAAAGACTCAAGGTCCATCCCACCCTTAAAAGGATCTAATGGCAAAGACTGCAATGACAACACCATCAAAGCAAACCTCTTTAACACATTCTTTGGCTCAGTATTTGTAAACAGCAATGGATCAAGCCCAGTACTTCCTAGTCAAACCACAGACAACTACAATGATCTAATACATATTGATTTTACAGAAGACATTGTTGAAAAAGCACTTCACAATCTAAAACCATCCCTATCTATTGGACCGGACAGAATATGTGCCTACTTCTTAAAAAAGCTATCTACTGCCATAGCCGAACCTCTAAGCATAATCTTTGAAAAATCTTTCAGGACCAGCTCCTTCCCAAAACTATGGTCACAAGCCACGGTCATCCTCATCTTCAAAAAGGGAGACCCCAGCCTAGTTGAAAATTACAGACCAATCTCTTTATGCTGCGTCACCTGTAAAGTCATGGAATCAATTATTAACCAATCCATTATCCTCCACTTAGAGACAAACAACCTACTCTCTAATAAACAATTTGGTTTCAGAAAAAACCTATCCTGTAGTCTGCAACTCTTACACTGCAAAAACATATGGACTACACAACTCAATCAGGGCAAAGCAATAGACACAATCTACATAGACTTCTGTAAAGCCTTTGATTCAGTGGTACACGACAAGCTACTCCTAAAAGTAAAACCTTATAGTATCTCTGGACACCTACATAACTGGATAGAAGCATTCCTGTCAAACAGACAACGAATGGTCAAAATTGGGAGCGTCCTATCAAATTCTGTACCTGTCAACAGTGGTGTTCCCCAAGGCAGTGTTCTAGGACCAAATCTTTTCATACTCTACATAAATGACCTCTGTGATCATATTAAGAGCAATTGCGTTCTCTTCACTGATGATGTAAAGCTATTCAACATCACAGACAATACTACTACCCTCCAAAAAGACCTTGACTATGTATCAAAATGGTCAATCAAATGGCAACTTCAAATCTCAACAAATAAATGCTCTGCCTTACATATTGGCAGAAAAAATCAGAAAATAAAATACAAGCTAAATAATCAAGACCTTGTTGATGATCCAAACTTTGTCAAGGACCTTGGAGTACTCATCTCAAATGATCTAAGTGCTAGAGCCCACTGTAACTACATAGCCAAAAAGGCATTAAGAGTTGTTAACCTAATCCTACATAGCTTTTTCTCTGGTAACATCACACTACTAACTAGAGCATACAAAACATTTGTTAGACCTATACTTGAATACAGCTCATCAGTCTGGAACCCATATCATGTATCTGATATTAACACAATTGAAAAAGTCCAGAAATATTTCACAGTAAGAGTTCTCCACTCCTCTACTCATTGCAGAATACCTTATGCCACCAGACTTGAAACTCTAGACCTAGAAAACCTAGAACTACACTGCCTGCAATAAAATCATACATTGCAATGACTTACCTGTCAGTTTCAACCATAACACAAGAGCAAACAATAGATACAAACTCAAGGTTAATCGCACCAAACTTGACTGCAGGAAATACGACTTCAGCAACAGAGTGGTCAAGGTCTGGAATACTCTACCTGACTCTGTGGTTTCTTCCCCAAACCCTCCAAAACTTTAACCTTAGACTGTCTACTATTGACCTCACCCCTTTCCTAAGAGGTCTGTAGGGGACGTGGATAAGCGCTTCAATCGTGCCTACCGTCCCCGTCCTCTTGTTTTTTATTTTTCTTATAAGTATCTCATGTATTCAAAACTACATTTATTCTTATACCTGTATTTTGTAAGCGATTGACAAATCAAATAAATACTAAAAAGGCCAAACCATTAGCAACTGTCTCCTCTTTTGACGTCAGCACCCAGCTTTTATCTAGCAGGGTTGAACAGACGCTTCGACTCTCCGCCAAGATCGGTCAGCTCTCCCTTACCCATTTTGGCGGTCGGGGCGGCGGGGCTGGGAGAGGTGCACCGGTCACTCGGCTCTCCTCCCTTCTCCTCCGGCTCCGCTCCTCTTCCTTCCGCCCTCACAGCAGCCACCTCCGCCGCCGCCGCCGCTTTCTCCTCATACCAAAGCTTTTGCCCAGGTACCCGCTTCAGCCACCTCCTTCCCAAGGCCCGAAACAAGCGGCTCCTCCTCCGTTCGCCTTCCGTCGATGTATCCTACTTCTTCCTTCAGCGACAGAAACGCGCTGAAATTCTATGCAAGTCTCTTGCGCCCACGCACGCGCAGTTCCTTCGGTGGACACTTAAAAAGGATTCTACCCTCGCGGCGCAAAAGCACGCGTGCGCATTCTCAAAAACCAGGCGGGGCTACTAATTTTTTTTCAGCTGCCAATTACTGTACCAGGGAGCGAGAGAGGGGTGGTTCTGTCTGTCAATCGTGGCGTGATAGACTTTTCTGTAGGTAGTCACCCGGACCTGCGGAAAACTCTTTTTGGGAAGGAGTGTCTGTGGAGATTCTCGGTCACTTTGGGATGACTATTCAATGGTGCGGGAGTGTATGAACGAATTTCCAGAAACTTGCAGACTACAAGAACCTATCCTTCCGTTCCTCCCACCATCCAGTCACAGCTGATGAAGCTTCTTGGATGGGAAGCAAAACTTCTTCCTGAAGGAAAAACAGCCCAGTTGTCTTTTGAAAAAGCACCTTTGAGAATTCTCAGAGGAATGCAAACTTTACGGATTAGAATTCTCATCTGGGTGACTGCTATGTAGTTATTTTGACAACAGTACTGAAAGTTTTGTTAGTACCTTCTGGGACCTTGTTCGATGTCCTTATTTAGTTTATATTTTGGGGGTTCCCTTATAATATTTTCTCCAAATCTGACCTGGATATCTTTTATCTTTTATAACTTTGCAGATAATTTTTTGTCAAAATCTAGGTTTTTCTTAACCCAGGGTGTAAGATCTTCCGATGTTCAGTAAAGACTGATGTTTCTTATCATAGTTTCTTTAGATTTTTTTGTTCCGCTTTTATTATTTTTATAAATAACTCAAAATAGTGAATATCCTCACTTCTTCCTATTTTCCCCAAAGCAACTGTGAGATTAGTTTGGTTTAAAGTAATTGGTCATCCAGCTAATTTTCATGCCTTTCACAGGACTAGAATTCATAGCCTCCTTGCTTTCTAGCGTTAACCAATAGTGGTTTTCAAGTGCTAAATTGATGCAAGTTCGTTTTTATATGCAGTATTAATCTAATGTTACTGAAGTTTTACATACCTCATAATTTTATTTCTATTTTTTCTCCTTTATTTCTTTACTCTCTTGGCTTTGCTTTCGGATATATTTTAAAATAAAAAACTAAGCTGCAAACCTGGAAAAAAGCAGGAGCTACACTTCCACCAGCATAAACATTCCAAATGTGTTATGTGCAGGACAGGACAATGGTACTGAAACTGTTTAAGGGACACACACTGCCTGGCAGAACAGCATTTTAAGGATGCTCTGTCAACTTTTCCCTTAATATCTACAGTTTATCACTCTTGACAAAAAAATTAAAAAAGCAATGTATCAATTCAATTCAGAATAGAGCTGGAAGGGACCTTGGAGGTCTTCTAATCCAGCCCCTGCTCAAGCAGGAGACCCTGTATCATTTCAGACACTTTTCTATGACTTAAGTGTAGCTGAAGTTGTACCATTTAATCCACTTTGGTACTATTTTTATTTTTTAGATTTATATCCCACCTTTTCTCTCTTGGATATGCAGATATTTAGGAAATCCTCCCTTACTAATCTATCCTTGTATTCATGTTGCAGAAATAAGTCAAGTGTGCAATGATCACTTAGACATTGGTTACCTTGGAAACCCTTTTCTATTTGCTTATGTTGGGAATGAAGCTATCCAAATGATTGTAAAATCGATATCCACATGGTTTTTAACTGAAAGTCTCAATAGTTTGCAGATGTTTGAAAATACCAGAGCCAGAGAAAACCGTGTAACAACCTAAAAGATTAAGATCATAGAAGTTTCCAGGTTAAACAATTTTCTGTTAATGTCCAGCCCACAGAGGCTCTCTGATCTTTTGGTTGTTTAGGTCTTTAGCACTTTTTTTAAAAAAATAATAATTTTTATGCATATACATATCAGTGCTAATAAAATTTGGCCTAAAAAATCAGTGACAAAATTCCTTTGAAGCTGGATTTTCTGGTAGAGATAAAGTAACCTATCATCCAAATAAATTTTTTTGAAACCTTATTTCAAGTAGATTGGTACATCTCTTAAAATCTCCACCATAGCAAGTGTCTGTAATTTTTGTCTCAATTACCAATTTCAGTCTGAATCTTAACATGGTACTAGGTTGTCAGGAATAGTTCTATTTTTAATGTTAAAAAAAAGCTTTACTAAAACTTCAACTTTTATTTATGCAGCTATATTCAATATAACTTTGATGATGTTGGCCTATTTCTGAATAGCTATATAGTGTGTTCTATACTGTCTCACCACCACCACCACATTTTCAGCAACTAAAATGGTTATATATATTTTAATGTCTTTTTTCACTTTATACCACCATGAATAATTTAGAAATGTTCCATTTTATTAAAACGTAAGAAAGGCAGAATTCACATAAGGAAGTAGGAATGGAACAAACCAAAATATGCAGAGGAAGCAAGATTGACAATTTAAAAATTCCAGCATTCTACTTCAAACTCTTTAAAAAACTGTTTAAAATTTGTACAGCATGTCAATACAATTCAGAAATTAGTGTTCTAAATCAAGATAAAATCCATTTCATGTATTTTTCCATAAAAATCAAAATATTGCAATATTAACCATTGTCTGCCACATAAAGATAAGATTAGTAACAATTTTGCCTAGCAATATTGGTTTAGAAAATATATGCAATACTTGGGAGTGGAACATAAATCAGTGCTATTGCTCATTGAAAGAACAAGAAGTTTGGAACTTTATACAGTCATGCTACAAATTTCACACCTTTAAGAAATCATCACACTGGGATACATAACATGTTACAGTTCAGAATTGGTAGTAAAAACAAAAGCCCATATTATTTAATATCCCATACAATAAGAACATTGTTCCTTGTAAAACAGATATCACAAATCCATATTCATCACTTGACAATCCAACACTGCATGTTAGATCTGCATTTTGGCTCCTTTAATAGATACATCTTATACCTATGGTGCTTAGACCAGTTTAGGTATGTATATATCAATTATATTTTTCTCTCAGCTGTACTATACTCACATATTATTAGACAAATAATTAATAGTCTTGTCACAATTGATCTTACCATATACACGATTGGTGGTTACTTTCTGATCATACCTCCTTCAAGTTACTGTGGAAAAATGCTGTCTGATATGAAACTATGACCTCTTCTCTGAAATCTAAATAAGTTATTCCTTTGTGAAGGAGGAAGAATCAATCATAAATACACTCATTTTAGTATATCAGAGAAGAGCTATCGTACATATACAGGTGACACTATCAAAGCAGCTTGATATGGGAATAATAAGCAGCATATTAATATACACAAAATACTTGAACATTTTGAAGTTCCATAAATTGCATCTATCTGATCATTTTTCAGAAAAAAGCACCATTCCATGTTAACATATAATTCTCAACATTTTAGTATGTGTAAAAGCTTTGCTGCCTTATGGAAAGATTTTTGTTTGTTTTGCATAATTGTATCGCTGCTAAGAAAAATGATATAAAAACTGCTGTTGAAAGTTTAAGCAAAACTTCTCATCGGGCAAATGCTCATCTATTAGAACTGTAAAAACCACTTGTTGCTGAAGTGGTTCCTACATTTTAGTAAATAATATATAGTTATAAGGGCCACACACATATACAATTTAAAACTAGATGCACTTTTGTACTCAGATACTAGGTATGTATCCAAATACCCACAGTTTATACCCACAGTTCAATCACTTTTGAAGAGTGTTTAGTTGTAGAGAAGGGACAACAACATTTGGATGATTATCTAATGTAGCATATTAAATTAAAGTTTCAATCTAAGATATTTTTGCAGGAGTAAAATGTATCCTCCAACAAATCCTGCAAAGGACAAGTCCTTGCTTATAGGCAAAGGACAATTTTAACAAAAGCAGAGCTTAGTTGCATAGAAGCCCTGATAATTATGGTACCTCATAACTGGTATCAAAGAAATTGCCTAGAACCAGGGAGGGAGAGAAAAAGAATATAATATTTAATAAAAGGTACTGTTAGACTGCTATAACAATGAATAGCTTTTAGGCATCTATAACAAATTATTTCAGGTAGAATGTTAATTGGCATTCAGTGCCATTGCAATAAAAATGCTCAACACAAATGGCCATAATATATACATAACTTTAATTGAATATGTTGATAAAATCTGAGATGATCTAAAACACCAAGGATATCCCTGCATTTTTAAGTCATTGGCATGGAGTGGGGAAGGTAAGAGAGGGAAACGATGGGTAAGAAGTTCATCATATATACTCATTAACTTCAGTTGTAAGTCTTCTTGGAAGAAGTTAATAAGAGCTAGTGACACTGTTTCAATGCAACTTTGTTCTTAACTTTAGAAGACTGAAAGACTACCAATCTGTTTCATTATTTCCCATAACCTAGTTATTTTTACACTCTCAGGATTTCTAGACAATTGTTATAACAGATAGCTATCCAGTCCGGCTGGGTTGATGCCCACTGTACATTGTTAATTTCTCCTTCTGCTGTGTAAGCCAAAATTGGGTCCTCAATGGCACGAGGCATTTGCTGGATATCCCAAATGAGAGCTTGATGGTCATCCGCTGTCAAAGGTGAAATACAGATTTTGTTAGTTCTTTGCAGATAATTTATTTATCCATGTATTCCAAAATAGAGGGAAAAAGCCTTGAGAAGTCATGGGTGACATTACTATCAAATATGTGTGACAATATCTGGCTAATCTTGAAAATTATTTTTTGTTGGTGGCTAGATATTTAAATATTTTTACAAGATAAAATCATATTAATTAAATTGTTTTGTAACACTTCAAAAAATAGGCATTCTTAGTGTACATCAATACATCAATACATATATGTTATTGTTGAGAGATCCTTGGTTCTCTCTGCTTGTTTTCTTGCAGACATTTCATTACCCTAACTAGTTAACATCATCAATTCCAGTAAGGAGTGCTATTGTCAGTTTATATTCTGATGGCTTGCCTGTCAGTGT